CAAAATGTCTTCAAACTTTCCTTTAGATACTAAAATACAGTACATTTTATTTTCATAACTCATACAGGACATTAAAATGTTATACAGAAGTTTTATGATAAGAGAAGAAAAGTTTTAAAATAAAGAATTAGAAGAGAAGTAAATTCAGTGTTTCAGAAGGACATGTTTTAAACAGGGAAACACATAAAAATCATTCCCTCCCCAACTTTGGCAAGTAGCTGGGGGGTGGGGGCAGATAGGAATGTAAAGGTTGAGCTGGTAAAAGCAAAGCCATAGAGGTAAGATGAAGCGAACAAATGGAGAGCTCTGAAACACATTTGGAACTAGCTCTCCCTCTCCTTACTCTTGTACCTATCAGACAATAAGAACCTTCAACCTCCATGGAAGTTAAGGGAGCTTAGGGTACGTTGAAACTCATAATGCTGTTTTACACAAATAGCTTGGGCATCCCAGGCACTGAATGTAAGTACAGCATGCTGCCCAGACAAATATTCCCTGCATCTCATGAGAGCTAATTAGCACAGGTGAAATGCTGTGTTACTGTAGTTGTACTGCCTCTGGTTTTAGTTCACTCAGCACTAGCTGAGGTGAGGTGCATGGCACTGCATTGCTGTACAGATATAGCCTTAGTGACTCACAGAAAACACTCCGGTTACAAGATGAGAGCCCAAGTAAATCTGCTGGCACATGTTCACTTAACATGCAATTAGACTGTTTAATTATGCCATAAACAGTAACCCTCCTAGGCAGGGTTTGCAATACTGTGACAAGAACAGGAAAACAGCCAAAAAATATACCAGAAAAAGCTGATTTTGTTGTTGGTTTTCATCATGTCTTAAACTGAATGCCTGGCAGATAGTCTTGCTATATAGCCCAATGGTGGCTGTAGGGCAGGGCTTGGTGGACAGCTCTTCCATGTTGGCAGGCTGAGAGCCCTGAGGTGTAGCCCCATGGCTATCTACAACCCAGTAGATTTGACTACGTCAAACCACAGTGCCCAGGGAGCTGTAGAGCAAAGCACTTGACACTTCCCAGCCATAGGGGCCCTGGGATTGGGGAAGAGGTCCCTGATCCCAGGGTTCCTGTACACCAGAACTTTTAAAAACTGCGTACAGCCAGAGAATGGAGACACCACAATCATGGATCCTGGAGCTCCAGCATGCCGGGACCTTAAAAAAAAACCTTATAAACAGCTGGGTTGCACATCAATTTTCTGACATTGGTGTACAGGGCTCTGGGTCCTGAGGCTGGGCCCAACTATCAGCTGCCCCAGGACTGTGCCAGTTCATGCCAGACTGCAGACTACCAGCTTTCAACGTGATCCAGGGTTCTCCTGCACTGACAAATAGAAATGGAATGAGTGGGATCTGATCTGATCACAAAATTGCACATCCTGCTATACACATGTGCATGCATCATGCCATTAAATAAACATGTGCTGGGGCCTAAGAGAGCATTACAACTTAAGAGACAGTTAGGGAAGATGTAAAAAGTAGGGACAAGAAGTCACCCAGGGGAGTGGAAACAGAATGTATTAGATACAGGTAAGGGCAAATTCTGACAGTATTCAAGTGGAAAAAAAGTTAGACTGACACATGAAGGAAATGGAAAGCAGAGAAGTAACCACAATAAGATGGTTCTGTAGGACTTTTTGAGAAAACAGAAACACACAAGGAGAATAAGATCATAGAAAGGAGATAAACAGGGCAATTTATTTCCCTCTAAAGCATGCCGTAGTGGGTGTGGTTACACAAGACACTACTGTGCAGTGGTTTCTACATATTTATTTAGTACTTGTAGAATCAAGTACTAAATAAATGTGCAGTAAGCGTGGTTACTACACAGTAGTGCTAACAAATGTCTTTTAAGTAATGCTACTGTGCAGTGACCTAATAATACTGCGCAGTAGCGTATCAGCACTGTTGGTGCTATGACACACTACTAGTGTACTATTATTCAGCTACTGCACAGTTAGCGCCTTGTATAGACATGCCCAGTGAATAGTTAGTGTGACAGTTCAAGATAATATTTCATTCTAACTCCAGTAAGTTTAAACCAAATCATGCCCCAGGGCACTGATTTTATTAACCAATTTTTAGTGGATCTATACAAAGTAAAATTACTTCCACCCATTGTACTAACCAGCAGTTTCAACAGAAGTTGAAAAGGTTAAAGGAGAGTTGGTATTTGATTCTGAGCCACTGAAGCACAGTACAAGCCCTGTTATCTGGCACACATGGGGAGTGGGGGGGGGGGGGGGGGGG